TGTTGTGCATTTAGTTAATAAGGAACAAGCGAAACTGGAATATTACGCAGAAGTTACTACACATTAAATAAATTCAACGTTGCCGATGAAGAGAGCCGCTACAAAGTGACGAAAATTTTACACCAACGAATCGTACTTTCGTTCGTTTCAGCCAAATGACGTCCACTGCTGGACCAGGATTTCCATAACCACCGGTAAAAGTTCTCAAGTGGCGACCACGGGCCGGAAAACGTAACGTGGGCAGGCCTCCCTCTAGGTGGATCGACGATCTGGTAAAGGTCGTGGGAAGAACCTGGATGTGGACAGCGCAGGACCGGTCGTTAACAAATATTGTGTCATAATTAGGCTGATTAGGCTACTGTACTGTTTTTATTTTTTAAGTTCACATGTTCATGCTGTTTGTTTCTAAAGAAAAATAAAATAATTTTCTGAAATCTACTAAATTAATTTTAATTCATTTAAACCTAACCGCGAATGTATTTATAAAATAACCAACAGAAAATACACGGTTATTTGAGTCACATACAGCTAAATGTAGCAAAGGATTGTGCTATAATTGAAAAATTAATTATCAGATGCACGCGCGGCCGCGGTCGGCAATATTCTAATGTACGCTAAGAGATTAGTTCCCGCGTAGTTCACTCACATTTGTGCGGACTTCTTATCTGGCTAGTTCTGCGTTGGATCGTTTTGATTGAAACTTCTTTTCTGTGGTTTTGTGGCCTATTACTGCGATCTGAGTAAATAAGAGTTGATTTAGTTAATGAATAGGTTGGTATGTAATAAGCTGGTAGGGTAAAAAGATTATGAGACATGTAGAGGCTCCTTAAGAGCAAAATGACGATTTGTAAGAACTATTTATTAGTCTAAACAAATAAAGAAATTTTGACTTTGACTTTGAATGTTCTTTTACATGAACTTAAAAAAAGGTAAACGTAAGTTACATAAGTGGAAGAAATGGTAAAGAAATCTCATATGATAAATTACAAAGATCCACAGGAGAACCAAAGTGACATTGCCCACAGAATTGCTAAAAACAAGAGTGGCAGTGGGCGAGACACAACACATTGCTGCTGCTGGCCGCTGGGGCAGAAAAGTTCTCGAGTCGAGACCACGGGCCGGAAGACGTAGTGTAAGCAGGCCCCTCACTGGGTGGACCTGGTGAAGGTCGTCTGAATGCAGGCGGTGAAGGGCCCGGAAACATTTGTCCAGCAGTGGACGTCATTTGGCTGAAACGAACGATACAAAGAAAATTGACAAATAATGTAGACTCTACATTATTTGTCAATTTTCTTTTTATTTCTTTTTCTCTACATTGTAGAGCATTAAACAAAAAATGTAGCGTCCGAATCTGTCAACCTGCTTTGCACTCCACGACCGCATCGAATTACGTTGTTTATCGCCGTGGCCGGCGGATTGAGGTAATTGCCCAGCGGACAAGCTCCCTAATTGGATTGTTTTTTCAGACACTCGATAGTTCAAAACTGGTCATTTATTTTGTCTTTTGTTTATGGGCGAAATTCGCCGATGGACTTCTAGTAATTCATCAAGTATATCAATAATCACTATGTTTTATGATATTGTCTCATTGTCATAACATATACGTAAGCAACAGATGTTATGTTACCAGCATATTATAAACATTGTACGTACATCCTTCCTTGGATAAGCGGATTAATTTTATGAAGGTCCAGTAAAATCTAAAATATACGTTCCGTGAACTCAGCTGAATATTTGTTACTGTAGCTAATATAAATTAGCTACAATACGAAATAAGAATCAAATTCTTCGACATTCACTTTTACCGACTCCACAGACAAGACAATATAGCCAATGACTCCGCGTGCGATGAAGCGTTCATAATCACATTATCACTTCTGTCCAACTTCCAACTTATTATTTCCATCAATGTAGAGTGAAAACTTTCCGCGAACCAACGAATCTTTTTCCGATTTCAATAAAATTACGATAAAAACCAGCAACAAGATGGTGTCGAGACAATTGCTTTGTAAGTGTTTCTAGTTGGCGAAATACTTAAAAGCCGCTCGTCGATGGTCGGATTGAATTTTATTCGCTCCGCAGCGAGTCGTCGATTTCCATTTAAGTTTAGTTAGATCCTCAGGAACAGACTCGTTTCACGGGCAGTTGGCGCTGTTTGTCCATCGCTCACTCGCCGCCGCAGCAGAGACAAGGACGGTAGGCTCTAAGCCAGTGTTTTTCAACCTGTGGGTCGCGACCCCCTGGGGGGTCTCGAAAGGTCGTAAAAACTACCTCAGTAAAAAAAACAGCAATGTTTTAAAGATAGATTGATCCGAAATCTAATTATGCAAATGCATAAATGTTGTATGGGTTGAAAACGGTCTCTACAACATCTTTGTAACCTTAAAAAATGCATGAAAAAAAGTAAACGGTCGGGGGTCGCAAAGTATTTTTTATGCTAGGGGGGTCGTGTCATGAAAAAGGTTGAAAAACACTGCTCTAAGCCAATGAATCGTTCATACTTTGCCAAATAATATATTGTGGCCTGTGGAATCCAGCCGCAATCGAGTTTTGAACTTTAAGCTGACAGCTGATCTTATCACCTTTGTTATCTTTCTATTAACCGACCTTTTCTAAAACGATTTCCATGAAAATCTCATCCAAAGTAACGGTTTATTAGTAAAATGTTCCGGCGGATCACCGTTAGCTACGGAATCTACAATTATATTTAGATTTAACCGAGCATGTTTACGTTTCCTTTTGAATTTCAACAATCGGTAGCCTAACGAGACGTAATTGGCGTTCGAACGCGGGAAATTTTCACTATTTTATTGAACAGAGCTAAGCGTTCAGCCGTCTAAGCGCGCGCCGTGTACGTACTGCTAAAGTTAGATTGGACTGCGCTGCCGAATGTAAAACCCAATTGAGCTTCGATGCTTTAAACGGAACCAACCAATATAGCCCACCAGATCGAAGCTCGTAATTTGCAGCTGGCAGCTGCGATTCTAAACCTTATACCGCTGGTATAACTTTTCTTGGCTCGCATCTTGGTGTGAAATCATTGTACTGCGGATGCTAATCGAACGGATCTGTAGCAATCACCTGCTTGTATTAGCTTGATTAATTGCCTTAACTTGGAAAGCCTCTGTCTGTTTCGTTATTGTTTCGAACAAACATTATGTAAATTAATCATAATGTATACGAGTTTTTTAAATAAGTACTTCATTGACTATTTTACTTGAGGGTTACCTAATATTGATAAAATATTATTTTTAAAAATCCATGTTTGTCTTTGAACCTGCTTATAATGATACTTTCAGATTGGATGAGTATCATATCGCTATTAAATACTATTAATTGAATAAAACCTGTTGGAAATCAAAATCATCTTCATTGGTTATTACAAAATAACTCTAATGTGTGATAAATCTTTTTATTTTTCTTTAAAAGTTCTCGGAACGGTGGATTAAATAAAAATAGCTAGTTAAATACATTAGCATAACAAGCATTTCTAGTTACTGAGCTAATTATGTTAAATGAAGGCTCCCAGAAAATGCCCTAGTTGGCGGTTAATCCCGCCGATACTAGGAAGGGCCGAGAACATCGTCCTACGCGAACTTAATACTTCTTAATAATATTCCCCGCTGCGAAAACTAACTACGTTACAGTTTATGGACTTTATATCATGAAAATAGATTATTTTACGGCTTCGTCGTTAGTTATAGTTATAGGCGAGATGTCGGTAATGTTCTTATTTATTACCAATTTCTCAGGGAACGTGTAAGAAAGGTTATTCTATTCTTTGACGGCACTGGAGACTATAAGCTCCTTGTGAAAATTAAAAGCTTATTATGAAATTATTAGCTTATTATGAAAATACTAATTTTAGCACGCGTTTCTGAATCTCTTTTGGCCAAACCAGCTGCCGCGCCGTATTGCTCCTTAAGAAAAAATAGATCGTTTTAATAGACGAGTCAGCGACATTTATAAGTGAAAATATCGGCGAGAGGCAATGTGGGCGTACCTACAACTACATTAATTTCTAACTATGATATTACGCCAACTTTCAAGTCATAATTAAGAGGCATATTATTCCACTTTATTAGTCAAGATTCAGATGTTCTATGAATAGGAAAAAAGATAAATAATTGTTATTACAGAGATCACCAAATTATATTCACTGAATCTTCAAATACTTCTATTTCGATAAGACACACTTTCGATAACTCGAAGTAAGTAGAAGAATAACATTAATCATTAAACGAAATAAAGAAAGCTATTGTAAGCCACTCTATTAACGGAGATAGGATCTGTTTCCTTGTAACCACAATGCCGGTTTGAAAATAACAAATGGGTACATTTCTCTTTCTTTTGTGCAGTCGGCAGATCAACAGTTTCACTTACTTAATTCGTTTTCAGCTCGCCGAAAAGGAAGTTTATTGGAAAAATGATAACGAGCTTGTATTTTCTCAGAAAACATTCATTTGAAAGTGTATTTTTGTTAATGATATGAGTTCTATGAAATACGAGTTCCTCGTAATAAAATAAAATGCGGTGCCGATATTTTGCATAACATGAATCTTCTGCTCAAAATGAAGCTTAATAACCTTCATATTTAGTAGGTACGTAATGCGTCAGTTAAAAACGCACTAGTTTCACTCCAGTTCACTTCAGAGAGCCAGGCTGACCAACTAGCGACCTTCCTATATCATAAATAAAATCCCCAAAGCGATGCGGGTCGGTGGGACGAAAAAGCAACCCGGCGGAAAGCGGCGTCCCGGCCACAATCGACAAACGATGCTGATGGAGCGAGCAGGAGCACTGTATTCCATCACAATATTGTAGGCTTTTCAGCGCACGTAAATGTTCAACTGTTTCATAAAACCTATCCATCTAGTCAATTCTCGATTCTTCGAAAAAATCTCCCAAAAATGTGACAGCAGACTTGCTGAAATTCAGCTCCGACCCGAGCTTTCTAAAAAAGTCATGTTTCTGTGCTTAATAGAAATGTTTTGTTCCAGTGCCCCCAGAGAAGCCGGTGGTGGTGGACCGCTGGGGCAAGGTGATCAACACCACGACCCTGGGCCCGCACGAGGAGGGCCAGGATGTACTATTAACGTGCAGAGTGCTTGGAGGTATGTATGTTTTATATATAGAGAGAGATAGATAATACTGACAACAGCACGTCAATTTAAACACTATGTCACAAATCTTATGTATTAAGAGCACTTTTGCAACAAAAAATATAAAGTCTGATGTACCGTTGACACCTCGAACTACCTTCATATCTACGGTACGAGAAAACACAACATACATTTTAATAAAAATAAAAGTTGAAAGCACCACAGCAAAAGTGGAACGTAATTAAAATCAAAACGCAATGCATAACAATTGAAATGTAACTCGATGAGTGGCGAACACTGCGCGGACAAGAGCTGCGAGTCGGTACATTTGACCTCTTTCAAAATGTAAAGCTAAAAAATTATTTAACATTTTATATTGTATAGGTATACAACGCAATCTGGCTATGCACGTATTTCGCGATTTTTAAATTATATGCGTGCGCATTTTATTGTTCTGAATTTTTCAAATAACGTCTCTTCTCTTGATATTATATATTCACAACATGTTTGGATACTGAACAAAATAAATAGTGAAAGATTGAATTTGATACTACTTAAAGGGTCTTTGAGGTCCATTTATATCTCTGATATTTTCCAAAGGACAAAAAGGATAAAAGTCTATGACCTGTTCAGTTCTCGAGAGATGCCGCGATATGGTAGCAACGTCCACTCTTAATCTAGAAGCTCTGTACTGCACAACACTCGATATGCTTGCCCCGGGGCCCGGCCACTAGCGTGTGCGGCCATGAAATTAGCGATTTACTTGATTACGATTGTTAGATGGAATTAATATTTGTTTTTTAAAAATACTTTCGTGAAACTGGTTTCTAGAGTCTTTGTTACGAATGGTCCCTCTTGTGGAAAAATAATTTTTTTTCTATGAAATGCAGTCATTATTTTGTACCAATTTTATCTCAACGCAACTCTATAAAAAGTTTTTTTTTAGTTTCTGGGTGTTTTATTATCTATTATTATTCCTATAACTGTCCATTTTTACTAAACTAAAACTAATCTTCGTTAACTCAAGGCATTTCGTGAGCATATTCAAGGGTTATTACAAGTATAAGCACCAATGCTTATCCGGTCGCTGATTCTGCAGCCTGGCACTTATGACGTCACCAGTCGCGAGTCCTCGCGCCTCGCGACACTCAAGTTTGTTTGCCCGCGCGAGTGTATCGACACAGAAACGCTTTTATCGGTTCGGAACAACGACAAATTCTTGCGTAATATCCGACGACAATCTCGACGAACAATACCGTGTAAGCGAAATATTTGTCTTTTTCTCAAGGTGACGGAGTTCGACGATCTTGTTTTTATACTCGAGAANGTATAAAAACAAGATCGCGAAATATTTCTCGAGTATAAAATTTATACTCGAGAAATATTACGCGGGAGCACTAGAGACATAGACGGCATATAACTGTAATTGAAATATGGCTAATGATTTGTATTTAAGAATGCCAAAGGGCGCCAGTCGACATGAAAGGTTTTTTGATGAAGGTCGTTAATAGGTTACATTATATCTTTAGGAGTCGATGTCTACACGATTATGATGATGGTTACATTTTGGTAGGTACCTACTTAGGAGAGATCTTAAAAATTACCTTCAAAAAGTGTTCCCACTCACATTTATTAGGACGTCAATACATCGTGCCCCTAGTAGAGCCGCACCGCAAAATAAAGGCCGTACTACTACAATCAATCAATCATAGTCCTGTGTTAAGTCTAAATATTTATATGTACAACAGACTGTAGCCTACATTGGTCGAGGCAATGTACTTGTATGAGTAATATGTCCTAAGGTTTGGGTAGCTACGTAAATCATGTAATTATTTACCGGCACTGCATAATATGCAGACGTGCGAATATGATTGCACATGAGTCCTTGAGTCCCAGTCATTAAATTAGACCGCGCGACTGCACAGATCGAACGAGTAGCTCGCACTACGACGTGTACGTACATACATACTCATTCATATCTACTGTGCTCTGACGCTGTATTGTCGTCACAGGGAAATGTTATGAAGAATTTTTTCCACAAAATTTAACCAAATTCCCACTGAAATATTCATCCTACGTGATTTCTCACAACGAATTTCTCTGAAACTGCAAATTAATATGTGAGACGAAAGGCTTTGTACGCTTTTTTAACCGACTTCAAAAAAGGAGGAGGTTATATGTTCGACTGTATGTATGTTTTTTTTTTTTCTATGTATGTTCACCGATTACTCCGTCAATTGTGGACCGATTTTCAAAATTCTTTTTTTGTTTGATAGGGTACACTTCTGAGGTGGTCCCATTGTCACCAAGTCAGGATCTGATGATGGGATCCTAGGGAAATCGAGGGCAACTCCCAAATTTTATAGGGACGTATATCGTTTTTCAAACGTTTTCTTAAGNTTTTTTCACTATGTAATGATGTTTTATTGTAATAGAAAGATACATAATGGTTCTAAATGTGTATCATAATAAAAACATATGAAATGTCTGTAAAGAAACGGTATTCCGAAGCCTAAAGTTTATTGGTTATTATTAAAATCAAAATTATCTGTATTTGCATATACTAATTGAATTAGTTCTTAAAAATCGTCAAATTGCTCTTAATGAGTCTTCACATATTTCATCTTTCTTTGCTCTGCTATTGACTGAAATGTTGTTGGCTTCCAATTTACTTAATTGCTTCAATTAATTTATGAAATAAACTAAATTCCCAAAAGTACTTGCCCCGCCAAACACAGCACACGTCACATAAAACTCGGGGTGATATTTACTCGTATCTCGACTGGCCGCCGTCCGACAGGGAAATGCTTTTACTTGGCGTCTCAAATACGGATCAAGACAAAAAATACTTTTGAAAAGATAAACGCGATACTTTTATATTTTCGGTAACTTTGAGGAATAGGTAAAATATTTGACACCGTTTAATTTCCATTAGAAAATTTCTTTTTCAAGTTGATCATTCAAAAACAATTCACGGAAGAAATCGCAAACTCAATCACCCTCGTCTCCGTTCACTTCATAAAAATCTCGACGTCGAACATAAAATCGCACATAATGACACAATCTCAGGCGCACAACGATCGCCGCGAATAATCGCCAAGTTAAAATTACGCGATCCCAATCAAAATGGGCTTTATCTGATTTTAGTATCCTCAAACGGATCCGAATGACGGGGCCACTGGATCTGCATAATCGAGAAATTGATTGAAGCGTATTTCCAACGTAGGCCGACGAAAAAAACGGGGAGAATTTCAATTCTTGTGAGCGCAGATGCCTTTCTAATGACGCGGCTTACGACCCTGCTTGCCGGAGCATGCGCACCACAAGTGCATACAGTAAGCCCGTTTTATGTCGTTGTATTTATGTTAATAACAGAAAATTTTCCAGCAAACAACTAGGTTACTTATGATACTCTTTGCGAGGGAAGGTTAAATTTTTCCGTTAGATTAAGTACATATTATTAGGTCAAAAACTGGTTTAATCGTAGTATTTACATTACTTTACAAAGCCGCTCTATCGATCGGTCAAACAGTCTGCTTGAAAACATGCTATTGTGACAAGTCGGAAGCGTAATAGAGCTGGTGGCAAAAGACGTCTTAATAGACCAATGAGCCTACCGTCTCCCATTCCATGTAACACAGGTCCGGGCCTGTTGCGCTGGAGCGATGGATGTTCCTGGCTGTAACGATAAGACATTAATGGCGCCTGCCCTAACTGAGGTCTTTGTTTCCTCTTTATTCCCTCTTTCGGCTCTAATCCGCAGCTACTTTGAATAACAAGGGCTAGTGATATAAAACCCTTATTTACTGAAATCCTTAGATGTAGGTTGGATACCTACTTACCTGCTGTTGTTTATCTAGTGTTCAAACAATATTCAGATTAATTTACGAAAACAGCTCAAAAATGAAACAGATCCAAATGCAAAAAAATATTGTATTTTTACTTTTGGCAATTTCCAAGACGAGACTGATGAATTAATTCTGATTTAAAACGGAGTTGGCACAAATTCACAAATCAAAGCGGGCCCTGATTACGTCGCGAGTCAAATCAAATCTTCACTGCGTCCTCTGTTTACATTACAAATATCAAAATCCAATACAAAGAGACACTGCTGTTTACCAAGCCAGGTTCAACAATAAGCTGGCAGGAAGCGCCGACTTTTGATTTAGAAAACGATTTTTGCCGAGCGCGCGCTGAGCGGCGCAGAGTAGAAAGGACAGCCAGTTTGCTTTGCAAACAGATTGTTGTTGCGCCAAATAAAATCTTTTTTTTTTCTAGTGCTTTTTACGAATTAACATTTTAATTATTTTTTATATTCCATTCCTCTTTATGCTACGTACTTAATATAGTTGTTAGGTAAGTACTTTCTTTTTATGATTGATATTTCATAAAACTCCATGTTTTAATAGGCTGAAGTTNTTGATGTTGGGTTTAAAATACTGGATATGACGCCGAAATTGCAGGTAGCATTTGTTAGCACGGTCGCGGCACCACTTTCGCAGTGGTAAATTGTGCCGCCTGATAACTGCACCGCAGCACAGCAGTGAAAGCACCAATTCCGCTCCCGGTCCGATCTCTACGCAATTATAAAGGTGAAAACTGGATCAGCATGGCATGCGGAGCTCCGCAGTCCCAATCCCATTACGAAGTTCGGAATATTGCAGACGGCTGAGGTCTTGTTTGTGTCAACACAAATCCAAATTAAATCCATTGACATTCGGAATTAGATCGTACTACCGACATAGCACTTCAGCCCTGAACTAATTCAATTTGGTCAAAGTGGATCTAAGGATAGTTCGGCGGGTCGAACAAAAGCGCGCGGTGGACAAACACGGACAAACAAAGCACAAAGGGCCGAAAGGGAATGACTGACCACGCTTGTTAGCTGAAACCAGCGGCATTTCCTCCCGGAAAATTTACGATATTTCCACATTTTTTCAATTTATTTTTTCATGTTCGTATTGTTCGTTCGTTCGTTCGTTCGTTTCAGCCGAAAGACGTCCACAGCTGGACAAAGGCCTCCCCCAAGGATTTCCACAAAGACCGGTCCTGCGCCGCTTGCATCCAGGTACTTCCCGCGACCTTTACCAGATCGTCGGTCCACCTAGTGGGAGGCCTGCCCACGCTACGTCTTCCAGCTCGTGGTCGCCACTTAAGAACTTTCCTGCCCCAGCGGCCATCAGCTCTTCGCTTTTTCAGTTCGTATTGTATCACAAGTTTATGAAGTTGTGTATCATCTATGCAACAACAAGTGGAGATAAAATGCAATGATGATTTATAAGCCAGTGAACTGAGCTAGAAGTCACTTTTATTCCTAAGGAACATTTTAATCACATTGAACATGTAGCAACGTAGGTATGAGTATTTGTAGCAACATTGTAGTAACAGAACCATTGCACATTCAGATATGAAACTACTTATGCTCAGAAGTATTATGTAATGTGTTAAGATTTTTTTTACTTGATTTTTGATGAGTGCTATTATGATATGCATACAGATTTGAAGGGACCTCGAAGCAATAATAATTTTAAGATGTAGCTAATTGCTTCCAACAACAAAACTGATCTTTAATTTGTTGCAGGCCGTCCCGAGCCATCAGTGCGGTGGCTCGTCAACGGCGTGCTGGTGGACGAGGAGTACGAGCACAACACCGGTGACGTCATCGAGAACCGGCTGCTGTGGCCGGCCATCCGGCGCGCCGACTACGCCGCCGTGTTCACGTGCCAGGCCGCCAACTCGCACCTCGTGCCGCCCAAGGAGCTGTCGCTGGTGCTCGACATGTTCCGTGAGTATATCTTGGTGGACACAGCACGGGTGATGTCATCGAGACGGCTGGTGTGGCCGGCCATCCGGCGCGCCGACTACGGCTTCGGCTTGACACTACTTTATGGGACACCCTGTATACTTAACACAAAATAGCATATACCACAGTGATTTCCTCAATTTGCAGTTGTTTGTACTTAGCTTGTAACAGACTGCTATAGCTGTCGAAACGTCACGCCCATGTTCGCATGCCAAATCGCCTATTACATAGCATCTGGTAGCGTGCTCGTAAAAGGTTCATATTCATTTCATACAGTCTTAGTCATTTTTTTCCTCATCACACAACCCTCACCATATATTTTCTTTACAGTGAGACCACTGACAGTGGAAATAAAGAAGCCCATAGAGATCGGCGAGGGCGGAGTCCTAACAGCCGAGCGGCGCTACGAGGTGACGTGCGAGTCGGCCGGCAGCCGGCCGCCCGCCGTCATCACGTGGCACAAGGGCAAGCGGCTGCTGAAGAGAATCACGGTGAGTCGCTTTCAAAACGCTATCATATAGGTACAGCCAATTGCCATGCGCGATTCTTATTCAGTGTGCTACTTTCCTGAAGGCCTCTAAGGTCTATATTACCTTACCAATATGTCACGTCATTTTGCCTTATAATTCTGAGTATATGGACATTACCACACGACACTCGTACTATAAACGTTGTTAACTAGAATAACATTTATAAGCGGAATTGAAATATATACGTAACTTCGGGGATATTTCTACTATGGAATTATTATTTCTGAGTATTTTTGTTATCTAATGTCTGGAATTTTCCTGACGCAAATAGGTAATGAATGTTATTGTGGTACGGCGCGACACGTTATCAAAACGATGTAGGTAATGTTTATTTAAACCAAGATTCCCAGGAATATAATCTTGATCTTATGTAACTGAACCAAATTAGCTTGATATCAGTAGGCACATAATGTGTCTAATTTCAATTAGATCTAAGTAGAGGAACATAACAACAATGGTGCTTGCATGTTTCCGGACGTGCAATGACCCGAGCATAATGCCGCTCGCTCGGGCGGCCGCGAATCGCCTCAGAATGCAGGGCAATGGCGGCGAGCGACGCCGCGGGGCGCAATTAGCGCGCCCTGATCCGTGCTGAGCAGTTAACTCGGTTACGAGCTGATCCGCGTCAATGGTGGAGTGATTTAAGGGCGTTGTTTGCGCCGCACCGACACTTTAACTGTGTTTTGATGGCTCCACGCCCGTTGAATTGACTAATCATCGACCCTACGCACCTGTATCTAGGTAAATAGGCACTACGTTACTATACGGCAATGTATATTACTGTTCACTTTATAGAAATGCTACTTGTACTTCCTTACATAACAACACTGGCGGTTTTATTTATTTTATCTTTTGTAAGAGTAACTGAAATCTGTTTTTGTTCTTTTAGCTCATAGGTTGTAATCTCACTAGAATTCTACTAACCCCTTTGGTTAATAATCAAGATTCAATAAAGGAATGACTAGTTTAGCGCGCTTCACGGAATCATGTTTTTTACGGATTGATACAATCTTAAATTAACCTGGGGACTACATTACACTCTATGTCGAACCATGAACCGTTGCAACAACCTGCGAATCTGATGACCAAGTAGGTAGATAAATGGTTAGGGTTATTCGTATATCAATAATTTCGCTTAGTCTCAATTGAGTTGCTTACACGCATGCAAGGCGGCGACCACACAGCCCGGGCGCGGACCAGCGCGAAGCGACGCGTGTTGCACAGTGCATAGCGTTAATTATTACGGACTTAATCACCGCGTGTGCGGTGGCCTGCGAATTAGTGCGAATGAATGTGTTTAATTTTGTGACGTAAGTGATGTGATTGAACCTGAAATTAATTTTGTTATTTGAACGTTACTTATTATTAGTAGCATACTAGTTAGTATAAAATTCATTTATTAAATTGGTAGTCATTTTGGGGAGATGCGTTCTCGCGTTCGTGGAGTATTTTCTTATTTGGACCATTTCTAATTTATTTTCAAAGTTCACACAATCATAATTTTTTCTAAGGCACGAATCTGATTTGCAATAAAAATGCGGAATAAATTTTGAAGTTGTAAAAAGGTGTTGTAAAGGCCTGGTCCTCAAAGTTGTAGGATTAGCAACAAAGAGCCCACTTGACCCGAGCTGTTGGCACGGAATAAACACCGCGAAGTTCCGCGCTCGAGAGCTGCGCCAATAGGGAAATGCGCTTATTGATCCTCGAAGCGCGGGAATTTCTTTCAACGCAAACTTCCCGACGCTGGGCGCGGGAAAGTTGGGAGCAGAGCCAAATTAAAGATAAGATCGTAAGACGGCACGCGCGTGGTGAACACTCTTAGGCAAGGAGTGCTTGGTGCAGTTTTTAAAAGGCATATTTTCTTGTTAAACAAATATTGATTTGTGATAAACTGCTTTGAGTTAGTAGCCACAAATCATAGTTTATTAATAGAAACGCTTAGTAGATCGATAATGTAAAAAGAAACAAATAAGAGCATAATCGTATTATCTAAGTTTTATTTACTATGTCATAAAGAGAATAATATAATTTATGAAACTTTTATCCAATATTCGCGTAAACATATTAGAACAGTACCTAATAATAATATCACAATATAACGAATAATAAAACTTGCATAAGACCGAGTTCTCTTCAATATACCTACAATGTGGATAAATTGAAATAGACATTTTTGCTTACACAAGATATAACTTATTGAAATATTGAAACCATAATATAAGTATCTACCATAAAATCAATATTGTATTCCTTTATAAACCCCGATAAAAGATTAAATAATAAGAAAGACAAGCTCTCTTTGCACGTCTGTTATAATGACATCAGGTCATAATGCCCCGTGTAAACTTGCTAGTAAAATTTGAGTCGAGCGTTACGTAGTTTATAGTGAATACCACTCATGTCTAAAACGTGGCTCCATAAATGCACAAGTGAACAAATCTTCCGTGAGCCCTTTCAGTGCGGATTGCCGCAGAGGAGGTGTCGGATACACCGCAGCGGGCCATTCACTCCGAGCCGTAAACTCGAGTACAAACGCTGCCACCAATTCCATGCATTTCTGTCCCGTGAGTTACTCCGGTTTACAACTAAAAGACTTAATTTAGCTTGCATCCACCTACAATGTGACACAGCCGGGGAAAGGCGAACAGGACAAATTCGTACATGCTCAGCAATTTGATAGCGATTCTGATGATATTATTTTTATTCAAACACTGGAAAGTGTTGAAGATTTTATGTGTTCACAATCTATGTAGAAGCTATCGAGATGACGGCTAAATAAATATATTTTAATTATTTTTAGTTAGATTTTGCTCTTAATTACAATTCAATTAAAAATGACCAAATAAAGTTTATTAGCTGAGGAGACGTCTAGTCAGCCTTCATTTAGTTTAGGCTATTTTTAGACTAAATACTAACACATAGGACTGTTCAAATCGCGCTATGTCGACATTCCGACCAAAATTCGCCATACAATTAGCACGTTTTCAACTAACTGCGCATATTAATGCCGCGCTGCTGCATCCCTCCGCCTTGAGTTTGCGCTGAGATGATTCGATGCACAGCTTACCTAAGTAGATATTGATTTTGGGCTGTCGCTAGATTGACTAAAATGCATAATTAGTAGGTAGGTACCAAACGTTGAATATAGATAAACCTTCTGAATGGAATGGTATGAGAAAATTAAAACGCTAAATTACATTGCTAATATTGAATGATTTCAACAATGTAGCTTACGAGAGATGACAAGTTACAGTAACTAATATCCAAACGCCGTATCCCATTACCTTAAGCCCACCGAGTTGTTTTTGAAGCATGATCTGAGTATTGATTTCGGTGGCGATTGCTGGAATGGAGCCAAAGAGAACGCAATGCTATCCATAACATTGCATGCAAAAGTGACTGCTCCTCCAGTTGTGACTTCTGACGGGTCAGTGCAGCCCACCGGCTCCGTATCGCGTTGTTTTGATGCACAGCCTAGAATATTGATCCCCGTGGCGATCGCTGGATTGCGGCCAAGAAGAATGCAATGATATCTTTCAAATTGTGTGAGAGTACGGAGCTTGAATGTCTGCTGGTCTAATTGCATTCCCTGCATCGCTTTGGGAGTAACTTAGCCAGTTGGTTTCCAAATCAATCAACTCTCAAGCCAGACGATCTAGGTAGATATTTGATTGACTTAGAAACTGCACACTAACTTTCATCAATCATCAAACTCTTCATTCTATAGGCACAATAATAATTATCTTCTGTCAAAATTGTTAGGAAAAGATTTTCGTTTTTCAATCGAATGTGCATTCTTTCTTTCGTACCTACTGTTATCTATATGTGTGGATCGGATTAGTGTCGCTGGTCACACGCACTTGTGAAAGATTTCAAACGCGCATTACACCTGAGCAAGTGCGGCTCGGCGGTTGTTTGTTACTCGCGCTCGTCTATTTGCCGCTGCGACTGCACAAAGTGCTCACACAAAGCTGGACCGCTCGCCGCTTTGTGACCGAGACGAGTGCACACCGGGAACACCAATTCTTTCAATTCTGTCAATAGGCTAGTTTCCTAAAAAAATGTTTTAGTCCGTCATGTTTAATATCAAAAAATATTGGACACATATATATTTTTANTGAGGTTACAGATAGATCCAAATTTTGAATTGATTTGTAAGAAAGAATCTCTGCTTAAGCAATTTTGGGCCTTATGTTCCCTACTCACCAGACATGATAGAGTCCATAATGGTCTGCACGTGCGGCTTGAGCAGCCCCGCGTGGTGATTTGCCGCCAGTGACAAATAGCGCGCCATGTGCCGCGATATCTCGCGGTTGCCCTTGTGCAGAAACTGAACCGCCACCGGCAGGAATAACTCCATGATATTCTTGCTGCCATAGTTCTCCTTTTCAGCTTGTACTGGAAACGAGACCTGTTGACAAAGTACTATAGTCAAAAGAGTGCAGTCAATGCTAGTTTTTGTCTTCCAAATAAACTACAATGGAAGGAAGACGATATCACAAACAAAGATTTATTGAGATTTAGTTTATTATTAGCTAGCACCTTAAATTCTTATGCATATTTTGTATTATTCTTCTTTAAGTTGGTTTTATGTTGGGCCAAAGTTATTTCAAGTGCTATTGAACTGAATTTCAGTACTTTAAATTTTGTATTTTGAACTATTGTGTCAGAACCAGATAAATAAGTTGCAGTTTTAAACTAAAATGATTGCTTGAATTTACATTGAGGTCACAACCTTGGTATCAGAATAAAGCTATTATTGGCTTAATGTAAATGAGGTATTGTATTTGTATTCTAATTTGAATAACTTTATTACATGTGGCTTAAAAAATTTAAGTTATACAAAACTACTTACCAAGACAATACAAGCAATAATATCAGAGGCAATTTTAGCATGTGGAGGGTCATCATCTCTCAAATGGCCCAGCGGCATCAAATTGTGGTGCAAGCATGACTCCAGCAGTGACACCAGCGCTCCACAGTACTTGTCCAACGTCCCAGTCTCTTTGATACAAGACGTCACTCTGGTCACACAGATTTCTATGAGAGCTTGGTCACGGTCATTGCGGCAATAGTCTGGTCGCGATGAAATTTCAGTTATTTGCTTCAACTGTAATAGATTTAGATTTTTTTAAATGTCACAAAGCACGTATTTGACCGCAATTGCACCTGGTGTTAACTGTTAAGTGAAGTGAGATAGAAGGTAAAGTTTGAGAATAAACTTCTATTGATGTTAATGATGGGTTAAATTGAGAATGCATCGTGTTTATTCATTGCCCTAAGTAATAATGATACCTTTGTTACATTTTAATGGTTTCCTCAAACTATAAATAGATCAAAATTACTGCACAAAGCATTGCAATGAGGACTGTTTGCCAATATGAGCCATACGGCTCTTATGACAAATAGTAAACAAACTGGTTACACAAGTTGCATAAATGTTTTATCAACAGAAACTTATGATATCCATGCAAATTTTCCTCTTAACACAATAATAATGAATTCAATAGTGTGTTGCAACATGTACCAAAACTATAATGTGTAACGTAATGGGATTCTAAATTCCATGAAGCTTTTGCATAACAATGTAGATTTGCAAGATGGATAGGGATCATTGCTAGATAAGATACACAAGTTGATTAATCAAGATTGACAAAATAAATATCTCTGCAACCAGCGGCAAATGCGTGTATCGCCAGTGTTTACTAAGCACAATAATGAATAATGTTAACTTACCACTTCATTCAGGTCATCGACTATTTCAGAGTCCGGGATGGCGAAAATATCGCCCGCCCGAGTCAGGTCTCTTTCATTTAAAACGTGTTTTAATAGTTCGTGCATTTTTGTAACAAAAATTACGTTATCAACATCACACAATCAGCCGCACTTCGAAAGACACTTGAATGGACACATCAACACACGTCGAAAGGGTTAGATATAGACATTATTATCAGCCATATCATGAGTTTAGCGCATATATTTTGTAAATTAATCTAACGGTATCCCAGAGAAAGTATTTTCAACGCAAATAGAAATAAAATTCTTGACCGAAATACGGACGGAATATCTTGTCGTTTCGTCGTAAACTAAACTGTCAAACGGTTTGTCTGCTGCTGTCTGTAGAAAAATCAGAACGAACCACTCATGTTCATTAAAATCTTGAAGTTGTTCTAAAGCTTTCCTTTGATTGGTTCAAACAATAGGAAAAAACCAATAGAAGAACTGCTTGCAATTTCATTCATGGCAGAAAAAATATATTCCTTGTCCTACGCTACGTGGCTAAAAAAAACTGTATGAGGTAGTGTTGTGTGTGCATTCAGGGACTGGGTACTCTGGGTAGTCAATGCGAAAAAACGCTCAACGGTTGGAATGTGCAGGTGTCAAAATGTCCATACGGACCGGTTGTTACTGTGGCAAAAAGTATGAACGTCGAAATGAGCAATGGTTAAATGGTCTGAAGTTAAAATGTCTTCGGGTTTATTTGAACAAGCGTCTTATTGTATAATAGCTAACGTGAACACGTGTTTAAATGCATCAAGGTAAAAATGTCCAAAAAAACTTTATTGACTAGACTACAAGAACATTGAACATTTTGACATTTAATTTTATTAATTTATTCATGAGCACAATATATCAGTTGATCATTATATCTATCACACCTTTTGTTGTACTTGTATTTCGTGATGTGTACCATTTGTCACTAAACCATTGTAACCATGGTAACAATGTACATTTTGGCACTGGGACTTTTTGACGTTCATACTTTCTGCCACACTAACAACCGGTCCGTATGGACATTTTGACACCTGCACATTCCAACCGTTGAGCGTTTTTTCGCATTGACTACCCAGTCCCTGAATGGTGTTGTGTGTTGTTTGTGTATTTGGTGTACGATGTTATCGATAACATATTCGAAAGACTCAAAACTAGACAAATACATAATAAAAACACCTTGGAAATCGCTTCTTTCTCCTCTTTTTATTTTGTGTGTAGTCACTTCGCTGCTCCGTGAAGCGATTATGAAATTAAAATTGTCATGAATGTTACGAGACTCGGGTGAAACGGAACGGAACTGTCAATTAACAGCTGATTGATTTGATTAATTGTCAAAAAAAAACTCAAAACGTGTCCATCAGCTATTTTTTGTATTTGTTTTATTTGTTGAACTTTTAACTTAAAAAATAATATTGTTTACATATTATTATAACGAGTCAGTCGTGCAATATTTATCAACACAAATTACACAACGTTACGATGCCAGTAACGTGTAGAACTGGCTGTGGTAGAAACGCAGTTTTGAAGGTTATATTTTGCTATTTACTTTTTATTATACACCACAAGTTACCATAACTTTGGTATAAACTGATATACTAAATCATTACATTCCAGAGACCGAAGACAGGCGATGCTCTTTGTAAGGAATGCTTTTACTGGGCTTTCGAAACAGAAATCCATTTTACGATCACAAAAGGTGAACTATTCAATAAAGGAGATTCTGTTGCAATCGCTGCTTCCGGTGGAAAAGACTCCACAGTCCTGGCCCATGTGATGAAAACCCTAAACCAACGATACGACTATGGGCTAAACCTTATGCTTCTTTCTATCGATGAAGGCATCACGGGCTACCGCGACGACAGTCTCGAAACAGTAAAACAAAATAGAGATGATTATGAAATGCCCCTAAAAATTCTCTCGTACAAAGATCTGTATGGATGGACCATGGATGAGATAGTAGCACAAATAGGAAGAAAGAATAACTGCACATTTTGTGGTGTGTTTAGAAGGCAAGCCTTGGATAGAGGAGCTGCATTACTAAATGTTAAGTGCATAGCAACTGGTCACAATGCTGATGATATTGCAGAAACAGTACTTATGAATGTACTTAGGGGGGACATAGCCAGGTTGAAGAGGTGCACAGCGATTACAACGGTAAGTTTGTTAATTACTACAAATACTATACATACACACTGATAGACTGCCTGATTTGCTTTTTTAATGTTTATTTTTCTAGGGCAGTGAAGGCACAATACCAAGAGTAAAACCACTAAAGTATACTTATGAGAAGGAGATTGTAATGTATGCCCATTACAAGAAATTGGTGTATTTCTCCACTGAGTGTGTGTTTGCCCCTAATGCCTATAGAGGGCATGCAAGAGCTTTACTAAAAGACATGGAAAAAATAAGACCCTCTTGTATAATGGATATAATTTACTCAGGTAAATAACACTAACTAAATAATATTGAAACTATTTTAGAAAACCATTCATATAGTTCCAAACTGTCCTGTCGATGACATTGACAGTGGGGCGCTACCGTCAATACCGGATCGCTGGTTCAGATTTTTGCCATGTTGGAAACCATATAGTTGAACGATGGTAGCGCCCCCCCGTCATTGAGTTTGGTGGGACAGTTCAGCGTGGGTCATCTATAACATTGAATATCTTGTTCTAGGAGAAACAATGGCTGTCAAAGAAGAAGTGACTTTACCAAAACAAGGTATATGTGTTCGGTGCAAATTTGTTTCATCACAAGAGGTCTGCAAGGCTTGTGTTTTGCTGGAAGGGCTTAACAAAGGCTTACCAAGGCTGGGTGTCGGCAAAAGTTCTAAAGCAAAGAAAATGTTGGCAGAGTATAATGTGAAACAAGAACAGGAGAAAGCAGCTTTAGAAAAGGCTATTGAAGATTTAAATGATAGCACAAATGAAGTTATTAGCAATAAGATATCAAAATCTAAATCCTGCAGGACAGGTAAAGGCAACAATGATGAAATTGTAAATAACGAAGATAAGTGTAGTAATAAGAAATGTTGCTCAGGAAAATGTAAAAGTAATCAAAACAATGATGATGAGAAAAGTAAAACTAAAATAAATTCATTACTTGAGGAATATGGGTTAAATGACACAAGTAATGATCATAAAACAGAAAATGGTAATGGTGATGTATCAGTTAATTCTGATGATGACGATGGAGAAGTTTTATTCAATGAGCAAGAAGAGGAAAACTCATGTGCTGGGGCTTGTGGGAAAATGGGCTCATTGCAGATAGGTTTTTGATAAATAAAATCTTTAGATTAATCACATACTTTCTTTTATTTTTTATGACTATAGTCTTTTTCACGTAAGATGATCCGTATGACACTTCAAGGTTATCCATATTACGCATACTACATATGCAGAATATTTTTGAAAAAATATTTGTATTTTATTAGCAATATAATAAAAATAAACTAACTACTTGTCTTGAAATATATAGTAAAATCTGAGTCTATTGATTATATTTTAATTAAATACGATGTAAAAATATTATTTATTTAATGTACGCAATGTGTGAAACGGAATAGATTTAGTGCTGGGGTATTTCTTGTATAATAAAATCGATTATTTCCGCGGTTCATTAATCGATTGCAGTGAATACTTACCCCCTTACTAATAAAAAGTTACACAGTTGTTGATTACTGTTTTAAAATGACATTTCCATACTAAACGTCATTTTAAAACACTGATCAACGAGCGTGTAAGTTTTATTAGTAAGGGGGTTAGTCATTAAAAACATCACAAAAATCAACTATATTTTTCGATTATTGACTTTAATAAACACATTGAAAATAAATTAATAGTTTTTAATTTAAAGAAACAGAACCAGTTCTTTTTAGGAATCGTTTTTTTGAACACGAACCATGAAATTTGAATATTATCAATAAAAAATTGTTACAATAATATTTGTAATTAAAAAAAACATGTTTTTTGTTAAATAACACCTACACAAATTATTTCTCCAAAAATTGGTTTTACTATATCTTCGAAAAAAATCGATAGATGAATCGCTATGGTTTAGTTATGTGACATCTCTAAATCTTTCAAACTCGAAACGTCATACGGATCATCTTAGGTGAAAAAGACTATAATTAATTACTAACTAAAAGATGTACAATTCTTATCAAGAGGTTTCAAATTAGATAGCAAGTTAACATCAATTTTTTTATCACATAATTAATTTTTCAATCACCACTTAGTTGCTCTACTGCTTAATGAATTCAGTAACCTATCTAATGTGAATCCTTTCGACAGTAAATAAGCCTGTACTGAGGAGCTCAGGTGATGAACGCAGGCGCGCGTGACTCTATTCTCTCGCGGCAGATGGGGCAGTTGTCGTTGATGTTGTCGGAGCAGTCCTCACAGAGGCACACGTGACCACAGGGAAGCAAAATTATCTGAAAGTATAAAAAACAAACAAGTTATAAACAGGCTATTTTTCATTAAAGCCACGATAGCCGAACTGTGAAGGGGTCGGAGTGGCCGACTCGAGATCCGAGGAACGCGGGTTCGAATCCCGCCTCCGCTCGACTATTGTGGTTAGCTCACTCGTAACACAAGCTTATTTAGCTTAAAACAAGGGGCTAACGGGACAATTAGTGATTTGTGCAATACAATTTGTATTATACAAATTGCTAATAATCTTTAAAAAAAATATCATAGCTTGTCCTATTGCAGTAAGTTTATTCCCATGTAACAGATTAAATATACTGCCCAAAAGTATGCTTTATGGTCTAGAACAAGGCTGCTCAACCCCAGGCTCGAGAAACATTTTGAGAGTTTTTATTGCGCTTATCCTGAGAGGAAATGTAAGTGGCCTATCGTTAACGACTGAATCCACCCTTTGGCCCGACTCTTCAAAAGGTTGAGCAGCCTTGGTCTAGAACTAGAACAGACCGCTCACCTCTTTGGGATTCTCCGTGCACACGACGCACAGTTGCACCTCAGTGAGATTCTTTTCTCTTGCGTGCGCGCGGCGCTCCCTCCTGCCGAGTGCGAGCTGCTTCTTGATGCTGTCCTCCGCCTCGCGCCGCCGCCGCCGCCTCAGGTACTTGTACGCAATCCGGCACGACGCCACCGCCGCCACCGACCCGAACACCACCAGGAGGACTCTTGAAAAAGATTATAGGTAGCTTATAAATACACGGTTACAAGTAGCATAATGAATAAAATTAGGAAAGCCGTACGTTAAGCTAAGCGTCCACTTGTCGGTATCATACGCAACGGACGCATCGTACGAAACACATCGTATCGGATGTGCGATACGTACGATGCGGACAGGTGGACGCACTTATACGAGTTTCCATATAAATAATACCACGATCCGTTGCGTGCGATACGTCCGATGCGTACGATACCGACATGTGGACGCTTAGCTTTAGATGACATTATAATAGTCATTAAAACAATCTAAATTAAGTTTAAATCGAAATATAACTGTTGGTGAACAGACCCATTACAATGGCATTTATAAACACCAGTACCTAAATTTTCTAAGACTGTAGCATTATTACATTTAAAAGAGTATTTAAAACTGTTTGAAAGTTTGTATTTAAAAAAAAAATATTTGTATACCTCTGGATCTGGCATTTCTTGTCTTTGTCTATAGTTTCTCATAATTAGACGTATTGTTCCTACAGAGACCTCTGCAATTTCTGAAGTTATTTGATACAGCTCCATTTTGTATGGGTATGTAAGACAGTTTTTTTCAAAATATCTGTAGATATTTACAATATATCTTTGATCCTTAACAGACATCATTTTTGGTACTTTCCATTTTATGGTTTTATCGGTTGTTAAAGTGCCCATGCCCAGCGATTCGTGCAACAGATCAAGCTAAAACAAAGACTGAACAGTTTTACACCTATTAAATTTTACATCAACTTGGTAAGGTTACAGGCAGATCTTTATGTAAAACTAAGAAATTTGACAGGTTTTGGAAACCTTGGGCACTAGGAGTTGAAAAAAGAAAATATCTCTGAGAAAGACTGCTCTGCAATAAATTTTTAAAATGTAGAATTCTTTAAAGTGTTTTGGTACCTCTCGCTGCCTGTCTTGTGTTTCTTTAAAACTTTTTATAGTAGATCTTACTTTTCCCACAGAAACCTGCATAATATTTGAAGTTATTTGGTAAAGTTCCATTTTAGAAGGGTATGTAGGGCAGGTTTTTTCTAAGTAATTGTAGACATTTACAAGAAATTTTTTCTGTTTTATGGAAAGTTTATTTTTTGGTGCCAGTTTTGGTTTTACATCTTTTTGTTCAGTTTCAGATTCAGTTTCCGATGAATCCATCTGTGGTTCTTTCATCATAACAGGCTAAAAATAATAATAAGCAGTTTTAGATCAATATTATTGAAAGCAAAAATAAATAAAGCTGCCAGGCCAGTGGTTCAAATCCCAAAGGCACTGGTACCAAGTTCTAATCCCATGAGGAATAAATTATGACAAGTTCTACTTAAATATGTACTTGTTTTTCAATTATTAGTCATGGACATAAATGTGTTTGTGTGCCAATTGCAAGGAACTGTAATAATTTGTGAGTTTTGCTATTGTTGTCTATTTTGCCAATATGTATTGCATTGAGGCATAAATGAAGTCTTTCAAAAAATAAAGGCCTGTCCATTTACAAAAAAGTTGTTGATGAAATTACGTACATATCAATTGTGTTACAAGATATCATTAAACAATATTTTGCGTATGCCTTTTCGTGTTGAAAACTCGATGAAATCTTCAGACTGAAAAGAAACTACGTCAATAGAATCTGACAATAATGTAAATAAAGCACCAATTTAACGATTACTCCATGGAAGTAACGTATAATTTAATGTGTTATTCTCTGGTTATTTAATCCAATTAAATTTTGTCAATATTCTAATAAGTTTATTACACTTCTACACAGTTATTTTAGTAAAAAACAATTATTTTGCAACACGAAAACAAAAATGCCACTGATCTGCAGCAAAATCACAGTGGTGACAGTAAGTGACAGCTTGTCATCTTTTTTTTTAATTCGTAATTCGTGGCATGGACATCGCATCTCTTGTCTTTGGGAAGTCAATGTTGAGCTTTTACGACCGACGCTATCGATATCGATAATATTCAATGCAGAACTGATTGGTTGAAAGTATGTAGCAATTCAAATAATTAAAATAAAGCGTTAAATAATCAAAGAAGTTACGTTTGAAAATTGATTGTATTATGCCATTTTATTTCAGTTCTGTTTGTTTGTTTTATCATCTTGTTTCTACACATTGATTGTAAAGAGATTAGATGGTAAATAGATTGTTAAAAAACTGATTCTAACCTTAGAAAATCCCTGGAACTGGCCAGTCTTTTTAGTAAACTGGATTTAGTAGCTGTAGTCAAGTACAATGGGAGGCCATCTTTCGGTGGTTGTATCTTCAGAGCACCAGTCTTGCTTCTGCTCAGCTCTCCGATGGCAGAAATGTAAGAGCCATCCCGGAGCATCTCCTCCATGGTCTGCAGCCCCCGCTGCCGGACTCCGGAGAAGAAGCCCCACACGTGGTCGATGACTCCAGGGGACATAGGCTCAAACTTGTCTGATATAACATCCATATCTAAATAGACAAGAGATAATTTTATTATATTAGGTGTTAAAGTATGACATTGCGGTTTTGTATGGAAAATTTAACGAATTTCCAATATGAGAACTAGAAACATTACACAATAGTGACAAAAAGCCCTTTTACATTCATACCAAGTAACTCTGCAGCAAGTGCATCCACCACCTCGATGCTGTATTTCCCATTGTTCAGGACGAAAGGCGTGGAGTTGCAGACCTCATGTATGGTGCGAGTCTGATCCGACCAGAAGCCGGCTGACGTCCGAGCTATAACATGCTCTTTTATTGTTAACCTGAAATCAAGTTAACATCAGTTTTAATGTAGGTCCAGACTACAAGGCCTTCTCTGGGTTGGTCTTTCATTAGAGGAGATTGGAGGTAATTTCATATTGAGGCCTTTACCATTTGAATTTGGATATTATTAAAAATTCTAAATGTAGGTAGGGTCATTTCGCCTGTTCGCGTCCATCGCCCAATTCGCGTCCATTTTGCCGATCTCCTTTTAAAAATCCTCGAAAACAAGTCAACTAACACACCAATCAAACGAAAAGTCATTACCGCTAATACGTCAATGTATAAGAGGCACGCACACATAGACAAAAGTCCTGTGCGTCCAACCATTCCTGTTTAGAAAAATAGTTAGTCTCGGCTGTTCAACAAGGAAGCTCACACGCGCTGCATGTTTAGATAAAAATTAGTGTGCAGCGGCGTGTTTGATGGTAAGTTTTATATTGTTTTATGTGAATTTTAGGATAGATAGCTATTTCTACAGTTTAATGATGAAAAAAGGTATAATGTTTATTATGAATTTGGTAATGTTTTTTATATTTAACGAATAAAATAAGGTGGACGCGAATTACTACATCGATTTTACAAAACTTCCACTTTGCGTCCACAATGGACGCAAACTATACCTATCCTCTATAATAATAAACCAAATTGCGTCCACTGTTTTCGTTAAA